ATGGCTGGTTCGTGCAGAGGGGGGTAGGGGCACAGGCTCGGTGAGAGGGTGGGTAGGGCGCGGTGGTGGCATGATGGTCGGCATGTAGCTGCCGGCTGGTTTTGGGGATGAAACCGTTGGCTGTTGGAGGAAGATTCGAGAGCTGAGAGGGAAAAGGCCGAAAGTGGGGTGAGGAAGAAGACTTTGGCGTTTTTTTGGATTTTGATTTTTGAATTTTTTTTTTTATATGGTTTTTGGGTTTGGGTTTTGGTTTTGGTTTTGGGTTTGGGTTTGGGTTAAATGGATTTTGGGTTTTCGGCTTACTTTGGGCCATTTGAGATGGGTTGGAATGGGTTTAAGGTGTAAATGGGCTTTGAGTTAAACTTTAATGCATTTCACCCTTCAACTTTTTATTTCTTCAATTAAGTCCCTTCTTTCTTCTTCTCACATTTTTTGCGAAATTTCCTTTTGTTTGCCAACCTAACAATGAAAGTAAAAATTGAACATATTAATGAAGATAAATATTTAAAAAAAAAAAAAAAATTTTGAGTTATGATATCTTTAAACATTGAAGTCAACCACTAGGTAGAGAAATGCCTATGCGTGCACTGTCACTCAAAGAATTAAAGGCAGCAGAACTTTATGTTTTGCTTAATTATGAAGAAGTTAATCCATGGAGTGCGTATGTTCTCTAGTTCTAACTTTCATTTGTTTAAGTTACTAGTATGTATAGATTGTTTACTCCAACTTTTTCATGTAGGCTTTTTGATTATCAAGTATGTTCCGGTCTATCAGAGGATCAAATTCAAATCAAACGGCAACTTGAATTTATTCCTTGGTTTAAGACAACGGTAAGTAATTTATTTTAATAATTTTTATTATTAAGATCTCAATTTTTATATATTTTAGGATTAAATATTAAATATTAAATATTTTTATAACAAATTTAAGTGTGTAGTGGAAGATATGAGGTTGATTCTCGCCTTTTTCCTTTAGTAATTGGCCCAGTCAATAATGTTAGGGTGTACAATGGTTATTGGGTTAATGGATTCTGGTTTCATACTATCGCATATGGACAAAATAAAAAGACCATGAATAGCGGTGTTTGTGTGAAAGGAACCACTTTCAATGATGAGTCAGATTATTATGGGAGTTTGAAGGAAATAATTGAACTTCAGTATTTTGACTCATATGTTCATCAATAAGTGATTTTGTTCAAGTGTGATTGGTATGATATCAACAAAGGCAGTGTGGTCCATTCGACATCTGGTATAGTTGATATAAATCCTCGGTTTAAATTACAAACAGATGAACCATTCATATTGGCCAATCAAGCTCAACAAGTGTTTTATGCCCGTTACCCATCTCAAAATCCTTGTAGAAAAGGGTGGTTTGCTGCATGTAAGATTGGAGCAAAGAGCAATAATTGACACTTCATCGTTGAGTGATGGTGGAAATGTTTATTATTAAGACGATGATCCTCTTATGCCGCAATTGGTGCAACCCTCGACTGTTTTAAATGATCATGTTTCACTAGCATCTCAAGGGGGAGAATAAGTGATGATTAGTGAGGTCATGCAATTCCCATATGTGGCAGAGGAAGAATGTGTGGGTGACGATGATGATGAAGAGGGAGAGTTTGATGGAACGGAAACATCGGAAGAAGAAGTTCCAAATTACTTAACCAAGAGTGATAGTGACTAAATGTATTTTATTTGATTTTTTTAATTAATTGAACAAGGGATGAAGGACTACTTATATTTTCTTTATTATGTGTTTCCATTAATGACTTTTGTATTTATATTTATATCAATATGTCTGCTATAATTCTTTATATTAATATTTATAGTGAAGTTATGTTTATATATTATTATATTTATATTGATATATATATCTATTTACCTATAAATATATATTTCATATATTTATAATTATTTATATATATTTAGTTGTGTATTGATATTTATATTTTTCATTTTTTTCTCATTTTTTAAATCCCCATTTAAAATTTTTTGCTTTTCTTCATGAAAAGGAAGTTGATGTGTTTCCATTATTTTTTGTATACAAATATGAGATGAGGTACGCGAAGTGCATCTTCTTCTAGACAGTAGGTGGATCCAAAGGGAGAACCATAGAGGCCACTTCGTCGTCTTATTTGGGGGCCTCGTAGGGCTGTTCCTACACAACAGCAGCTGCCCAGCTTGAGCCAGCCTCCCACACAGCAGCAGCTTTCCAGTTTGACTCAGCTTCCCACACAGCTGCAGCAGGAGCAACCCACTGTTACTCAGCCACCATTGAACGATGACCAGCACACTAGTGATGATGCAACAATGGAGGAGGACACTGAAGAGTGTAATTTGGAGGCTGAGTTGGATGGTGAGTTTGTTGTGCTTGATCCTGAGTTAGATGCTCAGTTGGAGGAGGAGTTATCACGTGCTGTCCCGAAGACAGGACGTGGCATGGATAAAGGAGATGACGCTCCTGCAGACCCGAGTCAAAGGAAGGTGCTCGGCCTTAATCGCCAAGGCACATTTAGCCATGAGAGTTTTGGGCGGACTACCACAGTCATTTGGAAGTACTTGTATGATGAGCCAGTGTTTTTTTAGTCTAGCTGGCCTGAGGAAAAGAATAGGGTTGCTTGGGAGAATTTTTAGGTATGAAAATTATAGAATAAAATGAAGTATTTTTTGAGAATTTATTTAGATGCTATCATTTTATTTTATGGCATTTGATATGGAAGTACAAGGTATATTTTATATGTTTTTTTATATTTTATTTATTAATAGTAAAAAAAATAATAATTTAAGCAAAACTTTGCTCTCTTTTTTTAAGAAAAATCAAATAAATTATTAACATTTAATTATTTTTTTTCATTGCAGAGGACGTATTATTGGGAAGAAGATGATGTTCGTGTGTATAAAATTTGGAGATTACATTGTTGGAACCGTTTCCGAGACGAGCTTCATCGAGCTCGAAAGGCATGGGTTAAGGACAAGAAGTTACCCGAGTTCATGCATAGGATACCTTTAAAATTTTGTTGGCAAAATGGAGGAGTCCAAAATATATTGCACTCCAGGAAAGAGGTCGACAAAATCGAGCAAAAGGTGACCGTGTGACCCACACAATTAGATGCCTTTCTATTGGGATCCATGAAGATCGACTGGTTAGTAGGATATACTTATATATATATACATATATAAATTATTTTTGTTTACCATAAAAATGGAAATGTTATTGATTTTATTGATGTTTTAATAGGCAGCTAAAAAAGGAGCAGTTAGGCCGACACCTTTAGAGTCATAATTGTTGACTAACTCGACTCGCCGACTTGATGCTCCAGAAGATGCTCGACCCACTTGGATATGTCCACAGGCTGAGCAGATATATGTAAGAATCTGATTCTTTTATGATATTAATTTTTAATTTTATTTATTTTTAATGTCATATTGGCCTAAAAGAAGAAAAGTGATACAATTTTTTATCCATTATACTCAGTAAATGATTATTTTTCATTTCGTTTCCCATTATCATTTGAAATTGCTAACTAATGAAAAATTTATTTTTGAAACAGAATGATGCCCACCAAAAATACGTGGAGAAGCATGGGCCAAACAAGGATTCGTGGCCAGAATGGGATCCACTTATCTGGAAGGAGGTGGTTGGACCTCCTAAAAAGGGTTAGATGAGAAGGACGTCTACATTACAGGATCCAGTAGAGCATGACATCCCTCGGCGACGGTATGACATGAGTGACGCCTCCTTTTCTACCACCAGGATTCTTACAACACAAGTCCAGCAGTTGCAGTCTGAGCTTACTCAAGTTCAGGAAGAAATGGCTAGGCGAGTTTAGACAGAGGTGGCCACACGTATTCATACAGAGGTATCACAGAGAGTATCAGAGATGGAGGCCAGCTTTGAGAGGAGATTCCAAGAGCACATGCGCTTACTTAGCTAGCAATATTCTATGAATGCTACACAACCCCAGACTGGTTATCCTTCTTCTATACCACCCCAGACTGCTGATCATTCTTTTGGAGGATTTAGACCTGATCACTTACCACCTCCTACTTAGCGACATTGATATTTAAAACTTATATTATATATGTTTATATATATGTACTGCATATGTATATATATATATATGGTGTGTAGGATGAGAAGTTAGTATATATTTATTAACTTAAACTAGTTTTTAGTTATGTAGTATTTGAGTTTAAATAAGTAAAATATATAATATTAATAAAATTTAACAATCCTATAACAAAAAGAAAATAATTACAATATAATATTTCGTAAAGAAAAAGCATATATATATCTTTATCTAAACTAGAATTTTTATAATTAATTATTAGCTCCAAAAAAATTGATTCTTATTACTTTTAAAACCAAAAATTTTACAAGAGGATTAATAAAAACAAAAATCAAAAGAAAAACCAAAAAAAAAAATTCAACAAAAAAGAAATAATTAAATAAAGAGATAGTATATTTGTTTAAATAATGGGTTAAAAAATTAAAAAAAATAAATAAAAACTATGACTATATTCGATAGCTATATTGGCTGTCGAATATAACCCCGCCCCCCGCCTTCCCAGCAAGAAAAAAAAATTGAATTTCCCAAAAAAAAATTTGAATTTCCCAGCCAAAAAGAAAAAGAAAAAAAAAAACTGTGACTATATTCGACAGCCATATCGGTTATTGAATATAATGCCGCCTCGAGCCTTCCTAGCAAAAAAATTGAATTTCCCGGCTACTTAAATTTTAAACATATTCAACAGAAATACCTCTCGGACATCAAAACATCTCATTATCTTCTAATTTTCATCTTCTTGCCTCTTCCCTTCTTCTTCTCCTCCTTCTTCTTTTTTTCGCAAATAACATCTCTCTTTGAGTTTCTTCTCCTTTTATTTTCATTTTTCTTTCCTCTTTTACATTCTCCTCTTTATATTTTCATAAATTACCTTTAATTTTGACAATCCATCATCTTCTTTCTTTTCATTTTTCTCTCTTTTTTGTTGAATTCTTATTATACTAATAGTTCTTTTTTTTTTTTTCCAGATTTTTATACATTGATTATGAAGTAATGTGAGGTAAATTTTGTGATTTATACTTTTTATCTTCTTTTCTTTTTGAAATTCTTCTTACTTGATATACATTTTTTTCTGTTCTTTTTGGTAGGAACAGGAACTTATTTCAAAATAATTAAGGTTAATGCTCATTTTAATTTTATTTATCATTATCTATTACTTTTTATATAATTGTTAAAATTGTCTAATAAATATATTGTTGGGAAATTTGATAATTGTCTTCGTTTTACTGATTTTTTTTATATAAAATTAACAGAAAATAGTATAAGATTAATTTTGGATTTTGTTGATTTTTTTTTTCTGCCAAGTATATTCAATTGCTGTAGAATATGGTATTGTAAAAAAAAAAAAAAACATGTTCGACAACTATTGCCTATTGATTATATAGCTTTAATCAACAGCTAATGGCTGTCGAATATAACCTTCAAAAATTAAAAAATCCTCAGCGAAATTCTGTCGATTATATTTATCTTCGACAGCCAATATCTATCGATTAAATTAGTATATTCGACAAAGATTTTGGCTGTCGAATATACTCATTATTGACTCCATTTTATACGACACACTTGACTATCGATTATGTCTGTCGATTAAGACATAATTGACAGAAATACCTCTATATACGACACACTTGAATATACTCTGTTTTCTAGTAGTGTTTTTATATGCAACTTTATACTTTACAATAAATTTATTCTATTTTTAAAAGCACCATTACATTAAAGTTTGTTTTGAGGAGGGCTCAAACGTGTGATCTCTTTTATAATAAATCAGTTAACTATCACTACAACCAACTAGCACCATGTGAAACCTTTTGTATAATGATATATTTATAGTATTTTGATAACTTGGTGGTTTATTAGTTAAATCGATTAAACCATTCAAACCATGAACTGAAGGTCAAAATGGTTTGACCTCTAGTTTGGGTTTAAGAACATTGGTTGCATGGCATCGCTAACTTTGGGTAGCACGCTACAATTGTGATTCATGCCCCCCTGAGTGTGATCATGGGTTACTCTTTGACTCTAGTGTTATCTAACTTTTATTCATTATAGCAGTTAGCATCTTTGTCATGTTCTGTGATTTGCAAAATTGTTTCAGAGTTTCTAAAGATGTAGCTGCATGGCATTTCTTTCAATCCTCCATTAAGACCTCACTTTTAGGTCGATAAGTCTCAAGTATTTGAAGATTTCTCTCTTGAATTTTTTGAAGCTCTTGTTTTCATCTTTTCCAATTTTCCTCCAACCACCTTTTGTGTTCCTTATGAAGCCTTTCAGATTTCTCATTAGCATTAGTTATTATTTCAACAAGTGATTTAGAAGACTCACTGCTTATTATTGCCCTTTCATTATAAAGTGGATTGACATAAGAGGACATATGTGGTGGAGTGATGAAGAGTTTCTGGTAGTCATTAGAGCAAAGACCTACCATGGTGACACAATCTAACAACAAAAGATGTGATCAACAAACTTATGAAACCCAAGGTGAGTCCCACCAAGCATGCCAAAAAGAAATTATTGTCTCTAAAATCTCCCTTTCGACCACATGGCAAATAAGATTGTGAAGGTATGTCATTCACTTTACTTGAAGTGAGAAAGAGGGAAACCCGGTGACCCTCACTACGTCCAAACGTGGAACTCGGTAGCAAGTTGATGGAAAAGCATCAATTAAATAAATTATGAGGTGTGCCCGGGTTAAAGGATTGTCACAAAAATGGGGGTGCATTTCTACATAAAAGTCCATAAACAATTGCCCTAGAAGAACATCAAGGACTTCCCACAACTAGGGCCAAAATGTTAGTTTGTTAATTAAAATAAAAGAGAAAAATAAAGGAAAAGAGAAGAAAGAGAGTGCATGGCAAGAAAACTAAATTGCAGAGAAGAAGCGTGATGTTGTCATGAAAGGATGAAAACATAAAAAATGAAATAAAAGCTGAAGCATAAAACTAAACTTAAAAGAGCTAGGAAAATGAATTAGGGCAAAGTGCAGTAAATTGAATTTTAGGAAACTAAATACTTCGGTTGAGATGTTCATAACAAAATAACAAAAACTAGAGCTAAAACTAATGGCAACATAGAGTTAAAGACTAAATTAGGAAAGCTGTTTGAGAATGCTAGATCTAAATTAAGACATTACTTGTGAAACTGAAATGCAGATAGCATTAGGTTAGTTGTGTGAGAGGCAGGTTTTACTTTCTTGATCTCTTATTCGCCTATTTATAATAATAAACACCCCTTGGCAGCATGCTAGAAATATGTAACAGCATCTTGAAAACTAACAGCAACATGAAATCTGTGATAAATCAATTAATTCATTGGTGTTGCTGATTATGCTCCTAGAAATTTGCAACAAGTGAATGGCTTTGCTGATGTTGTGAAAATAGCCGCTGAACCTTATCTAGAGAGATTTACATCAATAATTTTTCAATGGCTAAATTTAATTTTTCATCTACTAACTATTACTCTCTTTTTATTTTAGTCTACAAAGTTTATTTTCTTTCAAAATCACCTATAAACTTTGAAAATCATTTCAAATTCATCTATGTAACAAACTTCCATTTGGGTTTTTAATAGAATCCTATGAGATGCTGATGTGGCACCAATTATATGGGATATGTAGTTTTGAAAAATTACACTTTAACCCCAAAAACTTCACAAAATTTTCAATTAAATTTTATATTCAAACCACTCCACAATACAATTTACTAAGTTCTTAAATGGACTCAATTAAAATTAATCAAAACTAATGATAAATAATTAAGATTGTTAGCTTAATTTATTAATTAATTAATAT